CTCTAGTCCGGCACTCCCTTATCTCAGTAAGCTCTACGCCATTTCGCAGCGCTTTCCTTTAATGTTTTGTGTTGTAAATGTTTACCCTTTATCTTTTTCTGTCTCGCTCTCTCTCTCTCACACACACACATAGGCTACACATGCTGCCGCAGCAGCAGCTGTGCCCGCGGCGTTACATCCACAATAGTCTCGCTCACCAGACCTTTCTCAAGAAAAGAAAGGTCTGACTGGGTTGACTCTCACTGTGAGATTGGAGAAAAAAACGCCCCGGCTGCTTGTACTTCTTTCAAACAATCACAATCGTTCTGAGCGGTGCCACAGCAACGGTGCACTTGCAAAAATATTGCCGGGGGGAAACAGGTTTTGGTGTAACACGCCCACAAAAATATCACCTACAGGACGCGAACCATGGCAGAAAAATGGCTACATCCCCGCAAGATCAAACACCGCAAAAGTTAGTAAAGGACGTGTTGAAAACGGTTGAAAACTGCTACACAACCGGAGGTGGTAGGGCGGGACTTCAGCGTGGCTCGTTCCGCCCAATGAGAGGCTGATCTCTGCAGCAAACTTCCGCCCACTCAGACTACATCCACAATGGATGTGCTGCTGCAGTGCAACGCTCTGGGCTGGCTCAGCTGATCAGTGCTCAAAGCACTATTCTTTTTTTCTACACAGTGCAGCTAAATACCCGGCAAAAAAATAGGCTACTGTATAGACCTCCACATGTTCACCACTGTTCTGTAAAATTCACTGTTACGATATGAAAGGAAAAAGAGGGAGGGAAGAGGGAGAACAAGCTCGATACAAACTTAATGTCTTTTATGAAGATTTACTTGTTCAACTGTTATTCAGCAATGAAGAGCATGTTTGTAAGAATTTGTGTGTTTATTTAATTAATTTATGAAATCATTAGGCTCATAACAAAACACTAAATGAAGTAGGTTAGGCTATTATTGCAACACAAGCGCAGTGTGTCTGTATGCAAATTAGCCGACATACATAACTGGTCAAAGACATTCTCGGCGGCTAACCGATTAACAGTCAACTGTTAAAATCCCTAGTTCAGATCTATAATAATTTGGTGATTAGCGCCTCCCCCTGATAATAATAGGAAACAGTAACCACCTTATTCCTAAGGGTACGACTGTAGACATGATTATGGGTGCAACTTCTAGTGAGATGGCTGAAGCCACAGTAAGCTAGTTAGTTGCACTGACTATCCATGGTTAGTCCCAGTGGCTAATCTTGGTGGCTAACCTCCAGCAGTTCTTTTCAAAAGTAACTGGCCTTCAATTTAGAAAATATTTTTTTGCTTTGAACAGATATCTATCTAACGTTACAATTAGCATGTTCTAAAATGTCCTTGTGGAGTTCTGGTAGGCCTACCTGTTGTTCCATCCATGTCTGTAACATTACTAGCAACCAGATTAAGCTAAATTTGTAGATTTGTAAATTTCATAATACCAGATTGTCCTGTATTGACAAATAAAATGCACTGTCCCTTATTGAATCAATACAGGACGTGATTCCTCTTGAAGGTTCGTGCACATCCTACTCCAATGCAAACACTACATTTTCACATGCTTGGAATGACATAAGTATTAATAATATCAAAAGACTTTGGAGAGCAGAGAAGTATTCAATTAGAGTTTCTGAAACAGAACGACACTTACGATGACAGGTCTGTAACTCAGCATCAGTAAATGACATCCCTGTCTTTACTGACAGACTGCATTCACAATCTACATTAGAAAATAAAATCAGCAGCATAATGTTACCTTCAATTCTGTGTTAAGTCATCTAGTCTGAGAATGTTTTACTGATTTAGGCTACCTCTTCTATACCATAGCCTATAAAATGATTGTCTACCTATAGGGGCCTATTACTCCTACTAACTGATTATTATTGAAGTCAGCTGCTAAATTCAGAGTGATGTTTTACTCAGTAGAACTCTAATTTAATAAATCAGCAGTTATAAAAATGTGTTAATTGCATTGTTAGGGCAGATAAGCGGAGCATTATCTAGGAAACAGCACATTCATTCAGTTTTCATGGAGCTAAAATTAATACAGATTTATGTTAAATGTTCAATGAATGTGTTACTGTCTGTTTGTGAGTCATAAGAAATCATAAATCATCTTTTAGGAGTAGTTGTTTACCATAAGGTAGCCCAGACTTCTGTTATGTTAATGTGGCAACGTAGGTCTATCGCTAATACGCTTGGTTAAAAAAGGAAAACAACAATGCTTTGAGATGGTTGTCATGGATGACAGAGGTATGATCACGTTATCCATTTGAGGTGTTACAGTTGGTGTGGCAAGAGGATTAGCGCACCATTAGCTTATCATTACCACTAGAAAACAAGGTTCTGGTTCAGCATCAGAAGTGGTGCCCATAATTCATAACATGGGGGCTCGGAGTAAGGCAGATAGAGCTGGCTAAAGATTGCCCTCCCAAATATTATTAAATATCATGATAGGGCTGGGCAAATAACCGAAAATATACCAAAACCGACATTTAGACCCTCCAACCAACGTAATCTTACTCATGTCGGTAATTTCGGTTACTACGTTCTCCGTGCTGTCCCCTTGGGGAAAAAACTATGCCGTGTAAGTCACGTGACTCCGGCCCCTCCACGTAATCTGCGTTCACTCAAAGCGAGGCTGACGCTGCCCACATAGAGAAGACGAGCACAAACACCCAGCCAACAAATCAACTCCAGCAGCTTGAACCCAAAGAGAATGCCAAGTCCGTTGTTTGGGCACATTTTGGCTTCAGTGCAGACGACACTGAACAGAAAGAAGTCAAGTAAATACTGCAGAAAAACTATTTAAGTGAGCCACGGTAACACCACCAACTTGTTCACTCATTTGCAGCACAATCACGTTACCCAATATGAAGAGTGCATGGCGCAAAAAAGAGGAAGACTGGCAGGCGCCCTTCAAAGCAAATGTCGCTGTCACAGGCATTTACT